CCCTTGATAGATGGATGGGGGAGGCTGACAGGGTTGGGTAGTCTGCGACGAAGGACTCGCTGATTATTATTGATGAGCTCGGGAGAGGTGAGCTTCGTCTCTTTCATGAGTCGGGTGAACATAACTGAAGGTATTTTGTGCGACAGGAACGTCGACCTACGACGGCTTCGGCCTCGCCTGGGCCATCTCCGAGTGCGTCTCATCTATCTCCAACGCGTTCGCCCTACCCAGCTCACTTATGCCTTACAGACACATCGCATCACAGACACGCGCCTTCTGCATGTTCGCCACGCACTTCCACGAACTGACCGCCCTGGACCAAGAGCTGCCGCACGTGAAGAATCTGCATGTCGTAGCGCACGTGTCCGATACGAAAGAGGCCTCGCGCGAGCGGGATATCACGTTGTTGTATAAGGTCGAGCCAGGTGCGCGTGGTTTTCAAGCTGTTTCGGGTGGTGCGGGAGCTGATCGTGTTGGGCAGGCGTGTGTGATCAGAGCTTTGGGATTCATGTGGCGGAGTTGGCGAATTTCCCCGAGTCGGTTGTGAAGGTGGGTGTTTTGATTTTTTGGAGGTTCAATGATGGGGTAGTTGCTCACGCTTTTGTGCAGCTTGCGAAGCGCAAGGCGGATGAGCTTGAAGATTTCAATACTGGTACGCCGAGTTCGGTTTTCTGACAACATAGGGTGATTTGCTCAAGGCTTTGTCACAGAGAGCGCCCCCTCGCAAGAGCCTGAAATTGCGCCCGAGGTGACCGAAGAAGGTATCAAGCTCGTCGAAGAGTTCCTCCGGTCATGGAGCGCCCAGAGCGCGACAGGTCAGGATGGCGACGGCGATGTCGTCATGGTCGATGACAACCCCACACGAGCGGACGCTTCTCCAGAAGCTCAACTCGCACAGCTCAAAGCTTGCTTCGCCGAGTTCCAGCCTCGACTGGAGAGCAATCCCTGGGTGCAGTCTCTGCTTTCCACTCTGTGATACTACGCCAGCAAGTGGCGTTACCCCTACCCGTCGCATTGATCATGTCCATGTCCATTCTGTCTTGCAACATTTCTACTCATTGCTGCATATACCTCTAGATACTCTACCCTACACCTCCACGGAACATAATCCCCTGTTGATGCTCTCTGTCACGTTTTGCCCAATGCTAGTTCTGCAATATGCTGTGTACCACCAGGCGCCTGCTCGACTTCGGCTCGGATCCTCGGGCGGACAGAAAAACTTAAGCTTTTTCAAGTCCCCGCCCGCCGTCGGTCTTGGCTCTGATAAGCTTCGTCGAGGTGCGTACTTACGCCATCGTCGCTGACTGTCCGCTCGGGACCAGGGAATGTGCGGTATTTCGGTCAATGGACAATGTATGCTCGGAGTGCCGTCTCCCCGACGTACGGGTACATCATCGTCATAAATATCGCTGACTTCTGACTTCCAATTTCCTTGGGGCGTCCCAAGCTGCGCGGCGGAAGCCAACAAGATTCAAGGGTGCATCTTGCATCCGCCGTCAGTCCCACGAGCCTGAGGCTTTCGGTCGGGGATAGCGCACGTTCTGTATTGGCTTGGGCCTCCAGCGGGGACCACACGCAGTACGCGCCAAAGCACGCCCTTGGAAGCAATTTTCGGACTCGACGGCTCGGCTCGGAGCAATTATGGGCGCCCAATTTGGTGGTGTAACCTGTGCTCCGATGTCGCTTTGCTTCCTTTACGAGTTAGCAGCTACGTCGATAACTTTAAAGAGGTGAGCCACAGCGCTCGTAGGAATGTTGCTGATCCCAACTGTACGGAGGAGAATTGTATGAAGGGGCCGAGCCTCTTTGCCACAGGTCCACACGCTAACCCACAAGAAGTAACGCCATATAAGCTTCCTTGTGGCAAGCGTTCCCTCGTAACGTGGGACGTCCGCTTCTATTTACTTATCCGGACACGTTCCTGACATGCCGATATTACAGACATTCTCCAGCACAAGGCGGCACAATCCATCAGCAGCCTCGACATTCAATTTGTCTTCACATCACTTCTTTGAGCAGGTCGATGAGCAGACGCACGACACGTTTGGGGGGATGGCAGAGGGGGATTCTCAGACTATAAGCGGCTGATCCCACTCATACCCACAGCCGTTTGTTTGACACAGTGGAGGTATAATTGATTACCAGCAAACGAAGGTCTCGGCGATCAGACTCCGAAGGCTTCAGCTGGGAAGGAACACCCGCGTCGTCTGATAGCGCCGGACACGCGTTCGACACAATATATAAGAAGGCCAACGCCTTCGTCGTAATGACTATTTCAACGCCTACCGCTGCTGCCCACCATGACCATTGAGAACGCGCCCTCTGCTCTTCCTACCGACGCCCTTGCTCACCACATATCAGACCAGGCGAGGAGACGGACAGGCAATGCGGTCAAGGCCATGCTGAAATTTACGAGTAAACCAGGTAAAGAACGCGCTTTAAGCCTGACGAGCCTCAACTGACGCGTATGACTCTCTCGCCAGGTGTGCTTTCGCTCGCAGGAGGTTCGTGATTATCAAAACGTAATTCTGTGCTTGTCTTGATTCGAATTATACCACAGGTTTACCCAATCCTTCATTCTTTTCATTCAAGTCTCTGGCCACTACTGTGCCCTCTCCGCTCCTGCTGAGCCCTGAGGCCCCTCAGACTACGCAGATCAATGATGCACCTACGCCCCAATCATCTCCGGATTTGGCGTCATTATTCGCGCGTGCTTTGCAATACTGTGCGTTCTGTCAACGCATAAAATGAACGTTCATACCTGAAACACAGGGCAATGCAGCCATGGTAGACGGACTTCCAGAGATAAGCGACATCGCGAAGCAGATCGTGTCGTCTGTGTATCGGCCTGCGTACCCCGACTGGACTGTGCTCCCGACAACAGGAAACACGGATGCGCTCTATAAGACGTGGATGACCTTCTGCAACCCCGGTACGCATGGTGTCTGCTTCCGTTCCAATTGAATGTAGTTGCTATCACGAGTACTGATGCTTCCTTCATTCGTCCGTGATCATCAGGCGAAGGTGTCCTGGCAGAAGAATGGACATACAGTGTCATGCTGTCTAGTATCTTGCCGCTGGGTCTGCGGCCTGTGCCAGTCAAGGCGGATGCAGATGGAATGTCCTCGGTGGCTCTACGCAATTTGCTCGAAAATTGGGACACGGTTGCTCCCAAGGGTTTGTCGAGGTATGCATGGTATCAGACGTTCCGTGCTCCGAAGCACAGAAGCGCAGACGTCTGATTGACTTGACAGACCGCACACGTTATACCTCGTGCCTGTGGGCCAAAACCCTACCGGGACGGTTTGTTGGCGCATCAGATGGACTGCTGAGAATGCGAATGCTGACGCGCCGCCCGGTCTAGGTGATGAGCTTGCAGCGCAAGCGCGAAATCTACAGCATTTGCTCGAAATATGGTAAAGTTGAGCAGATCCACGTGAAAGCTCGTCACTGACACGGGCGCCTGTTCGCAGATATCATTATCATCGAGGATGATCCGTACTACTTTATGCAGTTTGACGACTACGGCGCGAAAGCAAATGGTACGGCAACTACTGCTTCAAATGGTAACAACAGTTGGCCCGAATCCCTGCAACCCACATTCCTCAAGTAAAGCTTTTCTTCATCCTGCTATTACATCGGTGCTTACAACAGTGTCTACTAGCGTCGATACGGATGGCCGCGTCATCCGTTTGGACAGCTTCTCGAAAGTGAGCTCAGTCGAGGCTCCATGAAGCGTGAGCGCGCAGCTCATCTCCGTTCGATGACAGACTCTAGCTCCGGGGTTGCGACTTGGCTGGGTCACATGCAACAAGCTCTTCTCCGACCGCATATACGCGATGGCGGAGGTCACCTCGCAGGCGCCCTCTGGCTTCTCTCAGGTAGGTGGGCTCGACTCGAGATATCACCCCATCACCACGGCATCGGCATCTGTCTTTCATATCTGACGAACACCCCAGACTGCGGTGTGCGCGCTGTGGGCGCAATGGGGGCTCTCTGGCTATCTGTCGTGGCTTGAAGGTCCGTGGCCACTGGCATGCCCTTTATGTCCTAGCTTGGGGGCGCAGACTGATCCATGGAGCATACCCATACAGGGCTTCGGACGCAATATCGTGTGCGCCGCGACGCGTTCATCGACGCGCTTTTCGAGCAGTTCGACATCACGCAGGACCACACCGCCTCCGGAAACGTGCTCACATGCTACGACGTGCCCGCGCCCGGGGCATCTACGCCGCGCCGCGCTTTATTCAGCTTCGTCGCACCGCGAGGCGGCATGTTTCTGTGGGTGCACATGCATGTCGCGAGCCACCCGCGGTACGCTGGGCTGCTTGCGAGCTCGGGCGGCAAGCACAAGCACCGCGACGAGGCGGCGGGGGAGCTGATGCAGCAGCTGTGGCAGACGTTCCTCGAGAACAACATTGTTGTCATGAGCGGGACGACATTCTGCACGCTCACGTACTGCGGCGCGGACCGGTTTGGGTTCGACCGTGATGCGCTGACAACTGACCATGTCAGGATCAGCTACTCCAACTTTGAGGTGCGTTGGTGATGTGTCACATGTCGCCTTGGCTTTGGGAGGGATATCATGGAAGGCTGATACTGTGCTTCAGGTCACACAGATGGCAGAGGCAGGAAGGAGGTTTGGGGCTATCGTGCAGAAGTTTTTCGAGCTGTAACTGGGAAGATAGCGAATTATGACTATACTAGGGAAGAAGAACATCTAGAAATGAGATTTGTCGTACGTTGTTACTTGCTAGGGGCTGGTTTGTATGCCAAATGCAGTGAAATCTAGCCTACCGGCCAGTCCGGTCTTTACGATGATCAGTGTTATATTGCAGCACTGGGGAAACGGAAACATATCACCCAAGACGTTCGTGATGTGAGCACGATGTTGTGACCAGCTGAGCTAGTCAACCTCAAAGATCGTTCTAGCAGGAACAAGTGCCGGGTGTGCTGAAGCAGTAGCAAAAACTAAATGAAGGACGACAGAAGCGCTCCCAAGGCCGCACCAGGGATCGAACCTGGGTCACGGGAAATCGTATGTCAGAATCCCGGGTGATAACCACTACACTATGTGGCCGATGTCCTGCTTCGAAACACTAAAAGCCTCGAGTGGCGTTGGCTTGACGGAGGCTTGGGCACTTCTCGTCAACTCTCGAAATCAAGAACGTTCGGCACTAAATGTTAGACAAGATACTCACAGAAAAAGCTTTCTCACCCGGATTTGAGAGGCCCTGCCAGGACTCGAACCTGGGTCACGGGAATTTTCTGAGGTCAGAATCCCGTGTGATAACCATCTACACTACAGGGCCGTTGAGTGATGCTCCCCTCCTGTCAATACTGCAAGCAGGGCTCGGAACAGGAGCCCAGTTAGTAGTACACACGCACCGAAATGGGTTCCTAGTTGAAAATGTACGCCTTTCAACTTAATCCACGGCTCTTACACTGGCCATCGTACGTGCGCGTGCAGCGATCATTGCAGGGAGACCAAAAGTACAACATCTATTTCCCAATAAATCCTAATATCACAAATTCTACGCGCCCGCCTCACCCGCCGCAGCGGGAGGCGCAGGTGTGCTCACAGCCTCTACACCCGAAGCGGCCGCAGGGGTCGTCGCGCCCGAAGCCACCACCGGCGTTGCGGCGGCGGATACGCTCGAAGCCGCCGCCGCCGATGCAGGCTTTTTCTGCTTCGAGGCGGCCTCACGCCCCGCGACCGTTATGTCTTCGCCAAAGATGCGCAGGCTCATCGCGCTGAGCCAACCGCCACATTGTCAGCATGCAGGACTCGAGGCGCCGGCATAACGCAGGAGAGAAAGAGGACCGACCTTTTCGCCTTCTTGTCGATCATGAGCGAGACAGAGTGCTGCGATTTCCAGATGGGCAGGACGAGGTCGTGCGTCAATCTGTCAGGTACGCGTAAGTCCTCGCGTTTGCAGCAGGTGTTGGCAGGGACTTACGACGCGCCGTCCCCGGTCCCAGTCTTGAACCGGACAACATGGCTGCCCAGCGCTGCCCAGACCGACCCAAACAATGTCAGATAATCTTCAAAGAAAGCCTGCGGACGGACGCACTTTTCGCCTCGACCAGCACCCTGAAGCTCTCCGCAAACGTGCTCGTGAGCGGGTAATACCCCTCAATGAGTGTCCGCAGCGCGCCCGACGCCAGCTCGGCCTCGATGATGCTCGCGGGCTCGATGTACGGCAGGACCACGGGCAGGCCCTCGCTCAGCAGGCGCCATTGCGACTCGACCGCCTCCTTTTCGACCTTCTCCTCGCCCTCCTTCGCCGCGGCGTTCTTGTTCGCGCGGCCGAACCCGCTGTCCTGCTTCGTGAAGATCTTCGTGCCGGCCGTCATGAGGCGCATCTTTTTGAAGTCGTTCGCGTCGAGCACGGCGTGGACGAGATCGTTGGTGAGGTAGAGCGAGCGGGAGGGCTCGCCGGAGGGGTTGCGCACAAGCACGTTGGCTGCGGGGAATGTCGGTTTTAGGCTCAGCTGGCGGCTATGTGCGAAGGGAGGGCAAGAAACATATGAGTGGGTCAGTGAAAAGGTTTGGCCGCCAGAAACATAGGAGAGAGAAGGGACGCACACGCAGCTCTGCACGATCACATCATCCGAAGGGATGTAAGTATACGGATTTTCCTTGAAGCCGTTATCCCCGTCCTGCTGCCGCTCCTTGCCTTTGCCCTTGACATTGCCATTGCCTTTCGGTGCGGCCTCTGGCGCAGGCGTTGCTTCGGTCGGCGTTTCTGCGGGTGCATCTACATCCGCATGCGTCGTGAGTGGGGGAAACAATACGAACAGTAAGAAGTAACAGCGTACCTTGGTCCATAGGCTCATCCTTCGGTGCCACCACTTCGCCTTCGAGCTTGACCTTTTTTGCTTCAGGCGCCTCAACATCCGGCAGCTCGTCCGCTGTCCGCTTCACCGCACTACCAAAAGCAAAATATTAACGTGAGTCCAAGACGTTGTGCTGATTCTGATGTCAAACGCACCTAGGAGACGCAGACGCAGCCTTGCCCGCATTCTTCCGCTGCAGCACCGCAACGAAAAAGCCGCCCGTATCCTGCAAATGCGGGTATATGCGCATGCTGTGTACCAACACCGTCTTCATCAGCGCCGCACCGATATACAGACAGCAGACATCTACATACCAGCGTTCCAGGTGCAGCCCCTTCGCCTCCTCCGCAGGCGGCGGCCAGTGGCTCTTGCCCATCTTCGCCTCCTTGCGCTTCGCCTCGGGGATCGACGCGATGTACGCCTCGTACGTGTCGTGGAACGTCAGGTTGCGGTCCGTCGTCGGCACCCAGGCTGTCATGCCTGGGCAGCGCTGTAGCGTGGGCAGGCTTGTGGCGACGTCGACGAGCTCGAAGCCTACATAATTATCACGAGGAAGGAGCATGTCAGAATGAGAGCATGTCTCTTGCTATGTTTTTGAAAGGGAGAGGAGAACACGAACCTGAAATAGTGCGCAGCGCCTCAGCGATGACGGCCTCGTTCTCGACGGGGTTAAGCGAGCACGTCGAGTAGACGAGCCGCCCCTCTGAGTGCAGCATGCGCATCGCACGCTGCAGAATGCGGAGCTGAAGCCTACGCACCGCACAGTCAGTCTCCCACCATGTCGTGCGGGCACATTGGCAGCGAAACAACAACCCACCCATGCAGCCCATTCCCATCCATCGGATTCCAATACTTCCAAATACCCACATTCTTGCGGATCGTGCCGTCGCCGCTGCACGGCACGTCGCACAGGATGCGGTCGAACAGCAGCGGCTCCGTCTTGCTCCCCTGGGCCGCAGGGAGCCGCAGCGCGGGGAAGATGGACGCGTCGACGTTGGTGACCATGAGCGCGGGGGACGGGAGGCGCGCGGACTGGTGGATGAGCAGGTGCGTGCGCTTGTAGTCGCTGTCGTTCGCGATGAGCAGGCCCGGCGGGATGGAGGACGTTGTGGGCTCGTCGGCGAGGTGGAGCGCTTCGAGCAGTTGGGCAGTCTAGGGGGGGCGCTTTGTGAGTATGGATGTGAGTGATGCGTGCGCGTATAGGTGCTCGCCTTGGACCCGGGCGCGGCGCACATGTCGAGCACCTTGTGGTGCGGGAGCACGTCAAGGAAAAGTGGGGGAAGCATGGATACGGCTTCCTGGCGCGACACATTTCCCTGCAGAACGAGAAATTCCCGCATACATCAACAAAATGCAGACGAGGAGCATCTCGGGCAAGCGCACCACTTCGGTCTCGAAGACCAAGAACGAGTGGAACTTCTTGAACTCGGGCGACTTGCGCAGGACCTTTTTCGGCACGTTGAACTGCCATGCGAGACCCTCGGGGTACCTGTTGTCATTTCGTACGATGGTGTCCAGTGATGATGGTGAGGAGCGCGCGGTGGCCGTCGACGTCGACGCGGGTGAGCAGTCGGTGTACAGTGTGACGTCATCGTCGTTGTCCGAGGCAGATGTGGATGGCGTTGGTGAGAGTGGTGCGGGGGGCGGGTGCATTCGGCGGCGTGGGCGGCGGTAGATGGAGGGGGGCGAGCGGGGAGCGGCTCTGGTCAGCATTGGTCTCGACAGGAAAGTACGAGACGAAAGGGGAGAATAGTGGGGACAAGAAAAAAATGTGCGGACTCGAGGGGACGCGGTAGATGGCGCATACAGGCAGATTGGGCACCAAAATTCGGAAGTATTCCAAGAAGAGCGGGCGGCTGAGACAGGGCGGATGTCGGGAAGACCCCTGCTCAAGCTCCACGTCGACTGTGCCCCAAATCGCCACCCCGATCACGCGAATATAGATGTCCAAGAAGGACAGAAGAAGGGGGGGCGAGTAGAGTGTGGGCGCACGTACCAGGAGAGCTGGACCGGGGGCGCGAGCGGGACGTCTTCGAACACAACGCCGTCCAGTTGCGGCACATACGTCTTTTCGATGGTCTCATTGAGCACCTTCGCGGTCCTGCCAATAAACATGTCAGCCGAACCATCGAACGGGAAAAATCGAGGTCAAACTCGACGATCTACGCACTGTCGGCTTCCCGCTACGCGGAACGTCGTCGGCAGAGGCTCGCGCAGCGTCTCAATGAACCGGTCCCACTCGCTCTCCTGCTTCTCTTCTCCTTCAGTTTGAGCTGGTGTTGTGGATACAATGCCTTGCTTTTTGTAGTAGCTCTCGAACTTCTCGTTGTGCATGTCGGACTTCGCAAGCAGGTCGGTGCGACCGTCATCTGGGTTGACCACCGCGGGGCTGTCTGTCCCACCTCTTCTGTCATTTCCGTGCCTTCCACCGCGTCCTCTTCCCTGAGCAAAATTGAAGAATAGGCGAATGTGTGAGCGCGTGCAGGAAGATCAGGACGAGACGTAGTCACTCTTTTGTTTCCGCGACCCATTCTGCAGACTCCTTCGCAAAAAAGGTGTAAGTAATGTCCCTGAAGGCTATAAAATACCGTCAGAGAACTCACGAGCTGCGATTTAGATACAGAAGGAGAGTGAATGGAGCAATGGACGAGGAACTCTGTATTTTCAGTTGTTCAATGCTCCTAACCTTACTCCGGGGTTCGAATCGATCGCTGACGAGAAGCGTATTTGATGGCAGCGCTCAGCGTCGACGTCGACGCTTGCCTCTGCGAACGTTGACAAGAGTTTGATGGTCAGTATTCGACTTGCACCTAATTACTCTTGCCAAGCTCAAGCTGACTGCAATACTCATACATTAGGTATCATCAAACATGGAGGCGCGCGGACATTTGGCCTGATGCAGCCATCGCGCATCCCCCGGACGATATGAAATTCGTATGAAATCCCATCTCAACGACTATCAAGCTCATACGCCATGTCCTTGATACCCCTCGAGTATATAGTGTCGATCAGGACACAGCAGACACGGCGGCAGCGTTGTACAACCCGTGCGAAGCACACGAGGTAGAGTCTCCGGCTGTCGCGTTCATTTAGACTCACCTCTGTCACACTCTAGCCATCCGGGGAACCGATCGCGACAGGCCTGCTCACCGCGCTTCAAGGCAGAGAGACGCGCGCCTGTCGCCTGATAAGTCGCGTCTCCCATCGATACCGACGCACGACATCATAGCCGTGACGCCTCGTACTTCCCTAATACTATATACCACCACACGCAGCGACGCCACACGTTCCTGAATGAACTCGAATCATGATCTCCTCCAGCTCCTTCGGCCAGTCCTGCGTCTCATGACCCGCTGACAGCACCGCGCGCCCATCCCCGTCCTCCTTCCGCACATTCGCCATTCCCAACTCATACCACACATGTCCTATGCGCGCGCACATGTGTCCGTGAGACCATCGTCTGCACAACGGA